GAGGCCACGGGAAGCAGAATCAGGGCTTCCAGATACACGAAGCGTAAATCGAGTCGGTTCTTTATTTTGGCATGGTGAGGTCAAATGAATGACGCTACTTGGATCCTGTATGCGCGTTTCGGAGACGCAGCACACATCGATGGCGCGAGATTCTAAAGTTTTAGCTAAGGAAGCCTGCTGTCCTATTTGGCAAAGTGTTCGTACGTTAAAAGCTCCTACGTGTAGTTTAGAGCGTGGTTTCAGGAGACCAGGAATGGCGTTCCACGTACTCGAATCGTTTGCCCTAGCGGTGCGAGGTGATAAAGAGACGTGAGGAGGGTTAGTCATGGAGATAAGAGAGGTATTAGGAGGTGTAGGAAGGATTTGAATGTGACCACCTTGGTCTCTTGTGCTGTTACGGGTATGAGGGCTGATGTCACTTCCCGGCTGCCCACACCGTGGAAGGGTATTTCTTGAGGAACCTGAAAAGGAAATTGGATTAGTGTTGGTCTTGACGACCTGGGAGCGTGACCGCAGAGCCCAAGGGACAACTGCTTGAGGCCGGTCGCGCACGGCCTTTTTGTGGAAGGTTTTTGACGTGTTAGCTCCGTTCTTCAAAGGGCCTTACCGCCGGAGACGGAAATCCGTGAGGTAAGGTGAGGTGTGACATTTTTAGGGTCGACCTTTTCTAACCCCACCCCTCCTTGTGGGAAGGCAGCATCGCTGTCATGCTGGTTGTCCGAGGGAAACACCTTACTGCTGTCACACCTCTCTACAGTCAGCAGTACGACTTCGCCCTCAGACCTTGAGTTGCTGCTTTTAGTCTTACCGTTCACCAATCGACCTGCCTGGCATGGTAGAACCTACAGGAACATATGTTCCAGCCAATATAGCTCGGTTGGGTCATCACGATAGGCAAGCCCGACCACCGCGTCAAGGTAGCAGCTTCGGTCGGGACCAAAGGACTCTGCATTGTATCAGCGTCTTCAACAAACAGGACTATGTCATCTGCGTATTCTAACTCGATAAGTGGACCTCCTGGTAGGAGATCAATACCCGAGAATTCAATCGACGAGAATGTTATTTCCATCAGTAGGTCTATAATGAAGTTAAACAAAAGTGGAGAAAGTGGACAGCCTTGACGGAAACCACTTGAGGTTGCAAAAGCAGATGACAGTTCGCCATAAGCTCTGACTCGACTAGTAGTGTTCGAGTAAAGAGCCTTTACAAGGTTTATGTACTTCTGAGGTACGCCTTTGAATGACAGACTGCCACAGAATCTCGCGGTCTACCGAATCAAATGAAAGTAAAAATGGACACTTTCGGTGCAAAAATGAGAGAATTAAATTTCCATAATAAAATTACAAAACGAGACGTTTACCAAGTGATTTCTGAAAATCTAGCATCCCTAACATAATTGCTTAAATTGGTTTATGATTTTCATATTTCCATATAAATATTCATATATACGTAAAAGATAAAACTTGGTAAAGATTAAGTTGAGAATATAACTCGTTTATATATGTCGTTCTGACTTCTAATGTATTAACTGACCAGATATCTTTCCTTCTAATTATTAAAATTTTTAATAGGCTTAGTGTAATGTGATTTTTATTGCAACTTGATAATAATGACCTATGTACCACGATAATAAAAATAACTACCAATGGGTTTGTACGTAGTTACATGTTAAAAGAGAGCTATGCTTATAAAACAATAGTTTTATTAATCCATATGACTTAAATCAAGCTATTAGTTTATATATATATTTCTTTTAAGGCCGATCATTAAGTTCTGATGTTATTAAGCCACAAACAAAAGCAAGATAATTGTACTGACCCTTTTACGCCTGATTAAGTCTGCTTGATACAGAAATTCCATTTAAGCAAAGAGTATGTTTAAATTAAGTACAGCTGTTTTTTTAAGGATTGTAACAAGATAAATAATTATATCACAATTTTAATAGATGAGATCATGAGTGAAATGAAGCTAGACCACCATGGAAAACCTAGAAGCACTGGACGGCCGTCTCGTATTACTGTCCTGCCGTTCACTCCTTCCAGATTTTCCATGATGGTCTAGCTTCAATTGATTCATGGTCGCATCTGATAACATTACTATAATATCCACAAAACCCCTTCTGAAAGTATATCATATCTGGAGTTAAATGGAGATTTTATTAGTTAACTTTAAATAACTTAGAATTCCATGGGGAACTAATAGGAAAAAGGATTAAAAGAGTTGAAATAGCAACTTAATATTAATTATTTCAAGAAACGTAAAAACCAAACAAGAAGGGTAAAACATAGTGGTTTTAGCTTCAATTGACTCATGATTTCAACCTGTGAAATTTCTTAAAAATCTCCACAAAACCCATTCTGACATAATGAGCGCCTTATCAAATGTATTATTATCAGTATTATGCAATTCTTTACCGAATATAACTATGCCAAATTGTTTTCAGTCTACAAGTATTTGTATTATTTTGATGTATATAGTAAAATGATAGATCATATGAATTAGACTGAAAAATTCTAATTTTAGTTAGTGATTTTCTGCAGCAATTTGGATAAATCCCCCAGTCTCCCACATTGTACGAGCATTCCATCTACCTAAATTAATGGTTGATCTAGTTGTCAGCAGCAACGTCAGCCTCGTGACTTCCGAAGGAACTCGGCTTTCACCATAAGGCGTTATAACTCTCCTACACGAAGACCCTCTAATTCCCAGGGCAGAGTTTAAATGCAGCCATATGTCATATTATTCTACATCAAATTTCATTCTGGCCTCATTTAAATTCATAAAGGGAACTAATTGCATGAAATTTTTGAAGAGTTAAAATGGTTCGAATTATTTCTTCTCGTTAGCATTTTTTTTAGCCAGTTGGTTTTCTACGGGATGGGGTCATTAACCCCATGCCCAACCCTCCTCCTTTATTCGGGCTTGGGACCGGGAGTAGCCCTAGAGGGACCCCAGGCGGAGTTTTTAGTTAGTCATTACCAAACTAAAACTTATCACGAATAGGCATCAGTTTAAACTTCGATGTCTCACATTAGTACAACGCGGGGGGGGGTAACAAGATGAGAGACACAAGAAATTTGGTATCGAAAACAATTAAAGTCCATATGTGAAAAATGTAGTTTAAAACAAACAAAAGAGACTGGAGAACCAAGCTAATAATGAAGAAAGTTAATATTTAAAACAAAATAGACAGTAAATGATACTAAACTATTATGACTAATTTTCTGCTATTACCAAATGTCTATACCCACTAATTATGATCATTAAGAAGGCCGAACCAGTAAGTCTATACTCTCCGGAATGGTTGAGACCAGTAGTCAATGATTTTATGGACTGATGCCATATCCTATTATTTAATTCAGTTCACAAAATCTGATACGACTGAGTAAAATATGTAGTAAGTATCAAACAAATATTTTTGTGGTGACTGGAATAATCTCGGCAAAAACTGAAGCAGGTGATTTTCTTAAACGGCCAGCCCCTCTCAAAATGCTCTCACATGGCCACGCGTATATAGCCGCTGACAGGAAAGTCCTACTCACTGCCTTCCCGCACCAAGGGTGTTGTTTACGAAAATGAGAGGACGAAAAGCAAATGTCCGGCGCTTTAACCGGATCTTAAACCAATGGTGCACATGGGCTCCAGTATCCTGCGGGAACAAATGGCGTATGAACCAATCGTTGGTCACCGGCTACCATGGGACTGCATCTCCATACGATGCTCCACTGCCTTGTGGATTAGACCTTCAGGTCGAAGGCTCGGGGAGTGGCCCTCTAAGAAAACCACCTGCTTCGGTTTTGGCACCGAGCAGTATCACAGCCCTCACACATACCGAATGAGATGTGTGGCGCATACGTGTTTAGTGCCTCCTTGTACCAATATCTATGTGTTAAAATAAAAATAAATAATAATAATTTCCGCAGATGAAAACCACAGATGTAAACCTAAGACTCGGTTGGAAAGGTGATATATCGAGTGAGATTCTAACACGTCGAATGATCAGATTCATTAAAACGACTCTGGATGTCGATAAACTACACATAACTTCCTCAAGGAAGCTAATACTGATACAGTAAATTAAGGATAAGATACCGACGATAGGCTTAACTATATTTGTTTATCAATTAAACTGCTCATGTGGAGCCAGTTACATAGCCCGTACTCAAAAGTCTTCATCCTTACGCGCTTGCAAACACGTACCTGGATGATAAAGAAAGGGTCTCACTAAATGTATTAACAATGTTATTCTTTCCCATTTACTCGACCAAGGACAACACTCAAGTTGAAGATGGCTACTCAGTTATATATCAAGTCTCTAGTAATCTAACAACATGCAAATCACACTTACCACATATTGCTGAAGCATTTGGTAGCAATCCAAATAAACATACGTCTGCGAAAAAGTTACACAAAACCTGTCTATTCAGCTTGGCCCACATTAGGGTCGTGTGATCATTGGTTTCGACTGTATCCTCCCTTCATCGGATTTGTAAGTGTAGAGACCGATAAGTTATTGAAAATGATCGTTGGTCTAAGACCAGTTAGTGATTTATATAAGACGTATCTGGACTTTACCTAAAAAGTCAGCACACGGTTATAAATAAGCAAGATTTGTCCTTACGAATATCACATAAATGGGTTTTGAAATTCCATGGATACTCGACTTTCTGTCATTCACAGTTTATGGTGTGACGTACGATGAAATCAGCTTGCCGAAATGAAGATGGAAGCTGCTATATCAAGAGGCCTAATATGATGGAAATATTTGATGAACAGCAATGCCGCTTAACTGCAGAAAGTATACCAAAAATCTTAAAAATGTCAGTACATATATATACGTAGTACAGTGTATTAGCGCCTTATTCGGTCCCTATAAGAACACCCTCTTGACTAAACAGGCTGATTATTTGAGTTATTAGATGTTAGTAATAACTGCTTATTTTTGGAAACGAATAGCAAATCAAATATATCAAAAACTAAATGTTCGTACATGAACTTACGGTGTCATTATATCCCTGATTAATCCCCAGATATAAGGAATGTGGCTTGTGTTTTGAAGTGGACCATGACGTGGATTTCACAGAATCTTCTAAACTAAGACCTCGAATGAGAGGAGGGATGTATCCTGGAGGAATAGTCGAAGTGTTTTTAACATTAGCTCGTAAATCATAATTGCAAACATTCTTGTCAGGAGTAAGGAAATCCATGTCTAGAAATATGTACGGTCTATATACTAGAGGATATGAGTAATAAGTACTCCAGAATCAGTAGCTAATTGACTCCAAAGTACTAAAATCTTACTACTCCTCACCTTCACGTATATATATTATAGGATAATAAAACAACGTTCAATCCTCAATATTTGTGTGACAAGTTTGTATGCTTGCTTCGTGTTGTTTTTGTACAGTGTAGGTTCTTTGTTAAATTCTAGCGGGTGGCGGTTTTCCTATTTTACTGCACGGTTATAATCAGTGTTGTAATCATTTGTTTTTATATTTTGGTATTCTGAGTGAATGGATTTGTTCCGGGTTATATACGTTTCTTGATACCAACAGCTATTAAATCATCAGATAGGAGGTTGATTGATTACATTATGATAAATAAAAAATAAAAATTTAAATTCGAAGAGAGAACGACTTCCAAGAAATAAAAACATGCAAGTTATTTGATGGGCAATGTAGTTTGTGGGTAGATCGAAACGTGAAAACAAAAGAGGAAACGAAGTTAATGATATCAAAGACACTTTTAACTTAATTCTGTGTGTTAGTGATAACAAAATTAAATTACGAGACGTCCATCAAACATAGATGGTCTAAACGCCAGATGGAAATCTATGGGGTGTATACATATTTATGAAGTTGCCTCTTGTAGCTATCCGTTGTGGGCGCTGAGTTCTCTTCGTCTGTTGAAGCATCCCAAGTTGGGAATACTGTTGTTGCAAAAAGTGAGAACGTACCCACTTTTCGATCTCCCACACAGATTTATTGTAGTTACCTAGCTCCCAAGCTCTCTTTAGTTAAAAGTGCAATGTAAATTGAAATACTTTTGTTGCTTTGAATAATCTGTCATCGGACTAATTATGCTATATTAATGATGAGCTTGCACAAATCGGAAGGTTTCTCAGTACTCGCTCCCAAGTGCGCTGTCGCCAAGGTGAAACCAAAACAGAGTGACTGATTAAAATACAGTTCTAAATTTCTTTAAAAACGTAAATGTACGTTATTAATTTAAAAAATATTACCACACAGTTATTTAACTTGTAATTGTTCAATCAGTAGTCAAGTCTAAATTACACTAAATAGACATGTTGATGAATGATGTAAGACAATCATCACGTGCAGCAAGTAAGCGTTATTCTATTCTATCATTTCCGGATAGATCGCGTTATTCAGATTTTATACTATATCTTGTCTCGTCAATTAACATTTTACTCTTTCTCAAACCATGGACCATCACCGAAGATCTTTTCTTCCGATAGCTGCCTGCCTAATTTTCATTTTTTGGGTTCAACTGTCCAACAACGAAGACGATGTCTCAGAAACTTACGGTGAGTTTAAGCCGTAAAATGTCTGCGATCTTAAGCTCATTTAGATGGTCGATAACCACGTATTTACCTGAACTCTTGTATTTGTTATGAATCAACCGAGTGACAAAAAGCCAACAGCATTAAGCACTCCGGAATTAGTTGCAACAATATGTGTTTAATCTGGGTCCTATTCAATCTATACCATGTCACAACGGGCTTTAATTATGTCACATCTGTTGAATGATTCAAATTCTAAAATTAATCCAGGCGAGTTTTATTAGTTCTCGTAAACTTGTATATATTTTCGTCTAGACTAGTCGTATATACTTCGTATGAACCACTTTTAGAACCGTTTTAGGCATAAGATATACTTAGTAGCCCTATATGACAACATACTACTATGAGGAAGTGTATCATTCTCAGGAAATCCATATTATACTGAACGGGAGTTTAGAACTTTATCACTTTTCACTAAACTATCATATTCGCCATTTCTGTGCGTATTTGATTTTATGGATTGGACTACCATATCAGTTACCTAGAAAGACGACGAACAGATAATAAAGTCGCTAAATTTAGGTACTATCGTAATTCACTGATAATTGATCAAATTATCACGTAGTTGTTAGTCAAACAAGCATTTGAAATCAAAACTCTGAAGCCTACTATTAAAATTAACACTAAGTGATCAAATATTTCTGGATCGCAAATTGTAATATAATCCGGCAGCTTAGATCCGGTGGTGCTAAAAATTTTTGCTATTTCAGAACTACCGAAATGAACAATACTTATTTCCCACTGGCTAATACTCAGTCAACAATATAACTAGATATTCATAATGATTTCCGAGTAACATCATTAAACATCATGACTTGACAGTCACGTGATATGATTGATGAAACTATTCACAAATTCGGTCAACAAGTTGACTCGTAATTACTATTGAATAGTGTTGTTTTCTCGTAATCTCATACACTTACAGATGATTTTAGTATGTCCTGATTATTCTACCGGGCTAAATCAAGATTCAGAAGTTCAAGAGTATCCCTCACTTCTATCTGAAGATCTACTTACCAAGCTGAACGATGGTAGGTTTTTCTGAAGTTGAGCTTGTTAGAAGTCACTTTAAAAATTTCAGTGACTTATAAGGGTAAATATTTTCTCACTTTCCATACACACGAGGGTTTATTACGATATATCCGACTGCCCTATAGACCTTAGACTACGACCTCCATATTCCAGTAAACTATGGCGATCATTTTGCAAGATATTACAGGGGTGGCAGCTTATTTAGATGATACCACAACCATGAGAATAAGCAGAGCATACTTGCAAAAGGGATTGATCAGGCTTTGTCACTCGTATCTGAACATGGCATTCGTATTGACGACGAAAAGTTTGACATTAATATAACGCGATTATGATAACTCGGCTTCATAGTTGATAAGGGCTGGCGGCAACCAGACCCATAAAATACTAAAGCAACGAAAACAATTCCTAGGCCAAGGAGTAGTCTTACTCTACCAACGTTTTTGGGACTGGTTAGCTATCACGAACAGTTATTTCTAATATACATTTTGTTTGTGCTTCACTGAACTATTTGTAAGTGGGAATTCAAAATGGTATTGGTTCACGGACTATGAAGCAGCTCTCTAGAAAATAAGGCATCTCCCGGACTCTAATCTTGAAGTTATGCATTATGACCCTCATTGATCTACTGTCACTGTTTCAGATGCGTAGGAAGATAACTTCAATCCACCCATGTCTGTAAAACAGAACATGTTGTTGAATTACAGCTCCTTATCATCAAATGGGATGTCACAAACCAATGGTATTGATGCTCATTTAGCATGCAACTTACCTCTTTAAATAGCGTTTGCGACGCTGATTCGGTTTCACTTCCTACCGAGTAATCCTAGTGAAACCCAAACTAAACAGTTGACTAAAAATGAAGCCAACTCATGACCCTATAAAATCAATAAAAATCAGAATGAGCTGAAGTAGCCTCGATAGAAGAAGTGGTAAGCATTTGTGTATCAGAATACTGTTTTCAGTATTATATTCTAAAAATATACAGAGTCCTATACTTTCGGCTTTTCGAATCATCTCCATTTATGCAGTTTATCGTCCATTCACACCATATTTACGTTTGTTTACTTTAACCTATAAGAATGCTCTTGCTTGAAAAGTATCTTAATAAAAGATAATTAGACTAAGTAGTCATACCTTAATTGTTCCATTACATTGTCTGCTCTGCTTCTCATCCTTCCTCTTTCTTACCATCCTTTTCAGCCCTTTTGAGATATGACACCGAAAACACATTTGAGATGGATGACTTTGTTTTGCCTAATTTTTAATGTCCCAGAAGTTGCAGAGGGGTATAAGGTTGTGGTTTCTAGAAGCTCTCAAATTTACGTGGATTTACCACCAGTTGCACATCGCAACGTAACCTCCATAAAGCGCACCAACTGTCATATTGGCAGTACGATTCTTACCAATATTACTTACATTCATTTGTGAGAAGTGTCATTCCCCTAATTCTATCAACAATGTACCTTATAAAATTTCATCCTAATTGAGTAACCCATTACAGTGACGACCGTATCTTCTGTAACAATTTGATTCTGCCTGTAAACTGGTATGCCTCACGTAACAGAATAAATTATTATTGAGATTTTATTGGGGCAGTCATCACTGTTATCTTTCCTGATGTGTCTGAAGAAACGATCTCACACACAGCCAGAACGTTGAAAACAACAGAATGCGACAACAGCCAAATAGTGAAAGAAGGTATGGCAATCATTTGAGCCGTAAAAATGTTCCACAAGATGATATTTGAACAACAGTTTCTTTATTGAACATATTATAAATCACTATTGACAGTGTTTTGGTGAAAAAGGGATCCCCTTTCACACGGTTCTCCGGTTAAAACGACGGGCAACAACACTTCTCCGTTAAGATTTTGAAATCAAGTACAAATGTACTACAGCTCTGGGACAAGTAGATGGCTTATTGACAATGATAGGTTTTCAGACAAAATTGTCAGAAGACACTCTCAAATGCCAAACCAAAGACAAATCGAAATGTCCAAAAACAATGATATAAGCAAACAAATTCAGTTCAGTGGAACTAATACATCCAAAAACACAGTGAAATAATTAGTATTTACTATAAAGGTTTTCATCAGCCAAATGTCTTCAGTTCTCCTTTAAAAATCACCCTGGAGCAAATGAAAAAAGTCGTTGGCTGGAAATTATGCTCATCGACCTTTAATGGACAGGGATGTCAAAGAATGATGCCAATAATGTTCATCCTGCCTACAAAGTGGTAAAAACCCTTCGGAATGTGGACACAGCAGTATCCTATCTTGCTACATTCTGAGAAAGACTATAAAGAATTATGGTCTAGTTTGGTACTAGTATATTTATATTCGTTACTATAGTAATAGATGTAATCCCAAAATTGTAGATATGTCGTTATATGACTACTTAGTCTATAAGATCTTACGTGGAAGTCACAGTATTATATATCCTGACTCGTTGTGTCATGACAGTGAACAATGCGATGTTTAGCATCTCTGAAGAAGACATCTAGGCTGAGAATAGAATAGTTCATTTAACTTGAGTAGGGATTGGTTACATAGAATAATGAAGCCTGTAAGACAAAGCCATGCCATACCGA